CTGCCCGACCTCAGCCTCCCGCCGCCGCCCGCCTACGGGGAGGTCAGCGCGTGTGTACATACACAAGGGGGGGGGGTCTACATGTGTGTGTGTGCACATATACATGGGGTGCACTTGTATGTCAGGGCGTGTGCACATGCATGGGGGTGTATACATACACGGGTTGTGTACGTCGGAGGGTGTCTACGTGTGTGTGCACTTGTATGTCAGGGTGCGTGCACATGCATGGGGGTTGTGTGTGTGTATACCTACACGGGCTCTGTGTGCACTTGTACATCAGGGAGTGTGTTTTGATGTGTGCGCACATAGGTTGAGGTGCACTTGTACATCAGGGGGGTGTACACACGTACATGTGGGAAGTGCAGACATATTGGGGGTTGTGCCTACACGTGTATGTCAGGGTGTGCACATGCATGGGTTGTGTGTGTATACATACACGGGGGTTGTGTGCGCACTTGTATGTCGGGGGGTGTCTACATGTGTGCGCACATACATGTGGGTGCACTTGTATGTCGGGGAGTGTGTGTATAGACGCACGTGGGGGGTTGCGTGTGCACTTGTACATCAGTGTGTGTCCACGTGTGTATACATGTTGGGGTGCACTTGTACATCAGGGGAGTGTGGGTTGTGTGTGTATACGTACACGTGTGTGCACTTCTACCTCAGGGAGTGTGTTTCTGTGTGTGTGCACATGTTGGGGTGCACTTGTATTTCAGGGAGCGTGTGTGCGTGCGCGCACATACACGTTGGGGGTGCACACATACCGGGGGGTTGTGTTTGCACTTGTACGTCAGGAGGAGCGTGTGTCTACACATGCGTGTGTGTGCATGCGTGTTGGGGAGGGAGGCGTATACATGCGTACATACATGACACGGTGTGCATGTATGTTTAAACCCCCTGGATGCCAGCACCAGGCACTCTCCGGCTACCTGCGGCCGGCAGAGGGGGAGCAGGGGCCGCAGCTTCTGAATCAACTTTCCAGACCTTAAATGCCAGAGGCTGCAGGTGAGAGGAAACCCACCCGTCCCTGCAGTGTCACCAGTTTGCATGTTCACATCCTACCGAAACAGTCCTGTTTTGTCTGGGGGCTTCCTAGAAAGGCTTCTGAAGCATCCCTGTGTTGGTCTGTGCACAATGTTCAGACAGGCTGGCTCTGTCTTCGCAGTATGGTTAGGATGCATAGTACTCGGTGCTCTACCAAATTCATTTGCTGCTCGCGTTAAATGAGTATTGGCTCTCAAACTGATAGATTGTAAGGGCTACCAGTACAATCTCTATCCAGCCTCGCACCTGTTTGTCTTCATCTCTCTGTGCCCCCTTGTGAAACGGAGCTGGAGATGCTGAGCTTTGTGAGGAAAAGCTTGGAGGAGGCCAAAGTGTTTTCAGGTGTAGAAGTGGGAGATTTGGAGTTGTTACCAGGGGGTGGTTCTTGTGTGTGAAGGTTATCGGACCTAATAAAGACACTCCTTTACAGCTAAAAGAAGAAAATGCCAAGTTAAGAAGCAGGATTCACCAGCTTCAGATCCTCTCCGAGGCCCAAGTAGACAAGTAAGGAAACTACAGGACGGTTGCAGGCGGTTACCTTAAATGAAGACGGTGATTTTTCTTAAATTAGTGAGTCTGGGTGTTGGCTTCCAGCAATGCTGTTTATTGAAACAAGATTTGAAGCAAACTAAATAATAGAATATAAGCACATTTGGTTTCTGTACAGACAGAATGGAGAAAAGTCGGTGTGTTTTGCATAGTTAGGCCTGTCTTTTTAATTGTATGATTCAAACAACTCACAAATAGGGTAAAAAAAAAAAAAGAATTTGCTTTATGGTTGGTTTTGTATGTTAAATGTTAAAGAAACTGACAGTAGAAGGCTTGAATTTCCCCTGGTCACAAGTGAGCTAATGATAGATTTCCTGGCTTGCTCTGTCCTGCTTCTTATATTGCAGCAATTCAGCTTCTAACGGAAGTGGATTGTTAGCCGTCACTTGCTGCATCTCGAAACGCAGCATGATATATACTGACCGTGAACAGCAGTGCTCTGTACGCAGTATTCAGGGGTTCGGTTGTGTAACTCCCATTAATGCTAATGGATGTCAGACAATCCAATCCCCTGAGCTGCAGCCTGGAAACCTCACTGTGCCCCTCGGAAGATGAGCTTTTTGTGACGCATTGGAAATAATTTTCTCAACTAGAAGCCCTTAGCATTCCAGGGATGTACAGAAATATTGGCCTTTTGCTAGGATTTTGTTACCTGCAACACTAATATGGTACTAAATGCAAGTGAGTGTTTTTACTATGTTCCTTCTTCAACAAGGGTAAGGAAGCTTGAAAAAAAACTAGAAGAGAACAAGATTAAAGAGCAAAAGGAAGCCCAGGATCTAGAAGCCATGGTCCAGCATGTGGAACAGAATCTCCAATTGATGACCGTAAATGTTTCTTTATGTATTCGTAGCGTATGACTACGCTCTAGGTTGACCTCTGCGACTTTCCTCCAAAATGCCTCTGAACAATTCATTGCTGCTGTATAAGGAAAGGCTCAGAACGTGTACCTGAGCAAGCTCAGTTAAATTACTCAGAATTGTCTTCACCAGTTACATTCACATACATTGCCCATCCTTGTGTGTGTTGCAGTGGGTGCAGCAATTCATAAAGCATGCTTGACATGTCTCCCTAAAGTCCCAAGCTTTATAGCCCACTTGTATGGAGTACCTTATGGGCTAACTTTTTTGAAGAAAGTTGGAAAACTCCATCAGGTGGGGCCAATACAACATAGTGAGGTGCAGTTGCTCACCCGATTTGGAACAAAGCATTCTTCTGAAGCCGTAAATGTCAGCATAATGCCACCAAATTTTACTGCAGAAGCATCCCAATGTTATGTTGGGGCTGCTTGAGGGAGGGGTGTTTGGAGAATTAATACAAATGACGTAAAATCTGTTCTGTCTATGCAGAGGTCTGGAAATACTTGACATCCCAGGCTAGGTTCAAATTACAAATACTTAATACAGGCAATGCCTGCAAGGTAAAAGCCAAGTCATGTACTTAATTAAAAGTAGGTGGCTTCCTTCCTGAAGGCTCAAACTGAAGGTGGGGAGGAGATTAGTAGGTAATAATAGCACATGTAGCTAACCAACCATGTGACTTGCTGATCTGAATTGACTTGTATGTTACCTCTTCCCCCATCACTAGTCCATGCCATGCTGGATAGCATATGCCCTAGGGCAGGAGCTGCTTATTCCTTTATACTTGGCAAGTGCCAGCATATCCTTGACTGTGCTGTTGTATAAGCAACCCCTCTTCTATTCCAGAAGCGAGCAGTGAAAGCTGAAAAGTATGCTGCAAAACTAAAGCAGGAAAATGCAGTACTTCAGGTATGAAGCAGTTCTCATTTTGAAGGGTCTCTTGTGCAAGTTCAGTCCGTGCTTCATGTAACAATAGGGATAGCGGGGGGAAAATTGCATGCGCCTTATTTTTGTGGATCTTTACACAAGATTCTTGCTTTCACCGTAAGCAAAGTGAGGTTAAGAGTTGAATGGCGGCATCCCTAAAATCTTAACCCTGCTAGGATGCTCTAAATACACCATTAAACCTGTTCCAGGTGTATTGCTTCACCAACAGACTCAGATTTCCCAATTTGCAGGGAAGGAAGTCGCATAAGGTTAGGCACACACATCTTGTAATTCTTGTTAATCTCTTTCTTTATAATCCCAAAGTACCCTTTACATTGGAACAGATTTTAGTGCCCTGTATTAAGAGAAAACAGTACCCTAAATCACCTGGAATCCTAGCTTTCCCCATGTTAATTTCTAGCCTGCTGGAAATTCTCTGCTAAAATTCTTTCCTCAAAACTGGGCAAGAGAAAGTGGAAGCAATGTATTTGGGAAAGCAGATTTTGCAGTTGCCACCTGGTAATCTACCAGGATAGCCTGGGATCACAGAGAAATAGTCATGGGTGTGGAGTCAGTCCCAGAAAACCAAGGTTGAAGTACTTATAGGTTTCCCTTGCTTTATGCGGGTTCTTTATGCGCAAATTTGCTCTTATGCAGTGACCCTTTTTATACCAAAAATGTGTTATATACAAGGTAAATTCAGTCTTACGCAATTCCTCTGGTAGAAGCCTGTAGTCAGCTGCTTTGTACGGTGCATTGTGGGAATGACACCCTAGGTGGAGGAAGAGAATTATTTGCAGGGGGCTGAGCTGGGTGGTGGTGCCTGGGCTGGGCTGCGGTACTGGCCCGGTCTGGCCCTTTCAGCACGGCATCGCAGGAGCTGTGAGCCATGACGCCGCCCGGGGGCAGCAGCAGCTGCAGCTGCGGCTGCTGCTCATGTCCATGATTCTAGAGCTGCAGCTGCCCTAGGAGTGGCATGACGCCACATCAGTACAATCGAGGGGGTCAGTACAGTCGAGGTCTTGGATGTATCCCTATTTGTTATATTGTAAAGTAGGTTCCCTTTATGCGAATTCGAGTTACGTGCCATTTTCCAGGAACGCATATACAGCATAAAGCGAGGGAAACCTGTATTGGTATTAGTTTCTCCTGCCTCCTGATAGAAGAAAATAAGTAGCCACTGTAAGAAACTAGCCCATGATGGACTAAATTCTTTCCAAGGTTCAGCTGAAGCACTTCAAGACAGAGAATGAAGCCTTGAAGTCTGGCCAGTCTGCTAGTCTGGCCATAGTCAAACAAAATGCAGAAGTTGCCTTGCAGAATCTTCTCACAGTTATAACCAACTCTCAGTCTTCAATAAAGTAAGTTCATCATCTTAGAGAAACATATCAAATAGAGCATTTGGCCTCATGAGGGTCCTGTACTAAATGCAAACTGCTGTCTTGAGACCTTCCCACTGACCTTAGAGCATTTTAACTTGGTCTTTCTGCATTGAGCAGAGGCTGAACAATAGAAGCAGCTGATCAGTTTCATTGTAGGTTACATTAAAATACCTACCTTGGGCAGATGGGGCAGGAGGTAGTGGAAGCTGAAGTGCAGGTTAACTGGCTCCTGGCCAAGAAGGCTTATATTAAGCATATTTAATATAATAAGGGGTGCATGTAAATCCCTCCCTTCTCTTTTTTTGGGTCTAATTATGTATCTGCCCTTTCTCTGCTAACATCTGCTCTCTGTGCATGTACTTCCAGGCAGTTGGTTTCTGGAGCAGAATCGCTGCAGCTGGTTGCTGAACTTCTTAAATCGATAGACAGAATATCTGAAATATCAGAGGATGAACCATGAAAAGCTACACGTGGTATTCCGATGAGAGCTGTGTTTACATGAAGAAATCACTACTTTTGAGATTTACTACTTTAATGTATTATGAACCTAAACATATACAACCTTTACCCGTACTTCTACTGTGGAAAACTGCTATGCATTGGTGCAGTATTAACCCTTCCTGTATCAACAGTACAAAGAGAGCCTCTGAGTCGCTGGAATCCAATGTAGCTTAGCACATTGGTGCTCTGCTGGATTGCGATGCAAGGGACCTGTCCTTTTATTTCGAGCATTGCAGACTCCTCGTGGGTGTTGGACTCAACTATTCTCCTCGCAGCCTTCTTCCTCCATTAGTGCTGTGACTGCTGTCGATATCTTTCACCATTCAGGAGCAACAGTACTTGGAGTGGTTGGTGGGGTTTTTTCACTGCCATGGATGAGGTACAGCAGCAAAAATATTTTTTATTAACTTTGTATAATAAAATGTGGGAAGGAGCAATTATAAGGCAGCAATGGTTTCAGCTCTTCAGTTTGAAAATGCCTTTTTAATTGGATTAAACTTTGTAACCACTCTTTTTTTAGAGAGAGAGAAATTAAATTGCATATAATACTGCTGTTGTGGATGACTTATGCCTTCTCTGAGGGGTGGATTTTTCTAACTAAGAAATATGTAGCTGTCTGTTTGGTTTTTTGGGGGGGGGGGGGGGGGGGTGAGAATACTACCATTGTATCCCTGAGGCAGCTACTTTGGGAGAGCACACTGAAGGCAGGAGAAACACGTTACACACCCTCCTTCCATGCCTTTTAAACACCAAGGTGTTTATTTCAACCTAACAGCAGCCCCTGCTCTGCCCACGGCCCCCTGAAACCAGGAACTCCAAGCTGAAATTTGTCCTCCCCTGCCAAAGACCAAAAGCAGCCTCCTGCGGGGAATGAAGTGACAGAGGAAAGGAGCCCAGGTCCATCTCCCTGCTAAGGGGTGGGAGAAAAGAGCAGTGAGCAACAAGTCCCCTGCCCTAACGTCTCATGCAACAAAATTTATGACTCCTCAATTTACATTTTCATTGACAGCTTGCCTTACATGCAGACCAGCCCAGCCTCTGGCTTCTTTACTATTCATTCCATCCAGCAAGAGCAAACACCAGCTGCAAATACTTCCTCAGCCTGAAGGGTTTTTAAACCTGAAAACTTGCTAATTTTTTTTTCCAACTATCTAAGTTGGCCTAACAAAAGATGTCAGATGCACCCAAGGATCCTTGTCTGCCGATGGCCTTAGGCTAACGTGGCTACGGCCTACCGGCGTGGGCAAAATGCAGCCCGCCAGGCCATTCTATCCGGCCCACGGGGCCACTAAAAACCTTAGAAAATTAATTTTTATCGGCCGCTGACTGCCTGTCCTGCAGCCCTCCATGGCTTGCCAAAACTCAGCAAGCGGCCCTGCCCTACACTCGTGCAGCACAAGGCGTTTCCCTCTTCGCACACCCACCATCCCGGACCAGACCCCAGGAGCGCTGCGCCACCACCCACGTGGGCGCTGCTTCCCACCCATGCGGCTTCCGCTTACCCCGAGGAGCCCCTCTGATTGGCTGCCCCCCTCACGTGGCAGGAGGGGTGTGCGTGCGTGCTGCCGCCTCTAGGGCGGGGCGGAACGCGTCACCGCCCTCTTCTCCTCACGTGACCCGGGCGGCCGGCGCGGATTGGAGGAGGGTCGGATCGGCGAGCTGTGGGCAGCGAGTGCTTCCGTGTCGCGAGCGGCTGCTGCTGCTGCTGCCTGGCCGCGGG